GATTCTGAGCCAGGCACTGTGCTAAGTGCTTTGTGAACATAGTCTCAGCTAAACCCTTCCAACAATCCTCTGAGGCAGGCGTTGTTGGTCCCATTTTACAGATGAGGAAACTGAAACTCAGGAAAGTTAAGCAACTTGCCAAATAAAGCACATGTGTTGAAATCAGCATGTATGCCAAAGCACTCTGATATGGTCCAGTTGGTTCAGGTAATCATCACAAGGGAGCGAACCTGGTCATTATTTTCCAGCGAGAACAGGACTTTGCATGTACAAGGTGGACAAGACATATTTGTTAATTGAAGAGGAATGTGTAAAGGACAAGAGCTACTTAAGTATGTGACTTCTGGTTTCCTAAAAGTCCTTCTGCTTTCCCTTATAGTCTTTTTTTCTAAAGTTTGTGATCTCAGATATTTAGGAATCAGTGTGATTGTAGGATAGGAAGGGGAAAGGTGATTTCTTCCAGTTCTTTGAGTCTATAATGGAGGGATCTAACCAAATATGGATTATAGGTTTCAACAAAATGGCTTAAATACTCAACCCATGCATCTCATTAAAGCGTAATTGTTTAGTTGCTCGGTTGTTTCTGACTCTCTGCAACCCCATGGACTGTAGCCGGCCAGGCTCCTCTGTCCATGGGATTTCCCAGGCAAGAATACTGGAGTGGGTTGCCATTTCCTTCTCCAGGGATCTTCCCAACCCAGAATCAAACCCACATCTCTTTCATCTCCTTTATTGGCAGGTGGATTCTTTACCACAGCACCACCTGGGAAGCCCAGAAAGAAGTCTGGAAGACCTAATTTATAGTTTTATTGTCACCATACAAGGATTTCCTTTCGTCACTAACACCATGAATTCTAAACAGAACACAATTTCAAATTCAACCCTATTAGTGCATGCCACATAAACAACGATAAATACCAATTAGTGATTGTCGTTAGGCTTGTTTAATGATCGCTTTAGGAAACAGTCCAGTTTCGTGCTCTTAATTCTGTGTGGCAAAGCAAATAAAACTCTTCTCCCCCACCCCCACCCTCCCCTGTAAATCTCCAAGAGTGGGAATTTTGTTTTGGAAAAAAAAAATTATTTCTATTTTAATATTACAAATTTTCTCTATACACATACATGCATAAAATATAATATGTATAGTGGTGGTGGTGGTGGTTTAGTCGCTAAGTCATGTCCAACTCTTGTGACCCCATGGATTGTAGCTTGCCAAACTCCTCTGTTCACAGAATTCTCCAGGCAAGAATACTGGAGTGGGTTGCCATTTCCTTCTCCAGAGGATCATCCCTACCCAGGAATTGAACCTTGGTCTGCCTGCAATGCAGGCAGATTTCTTTTCCAACTGAGCTATGAGGGAAGATTCAATATATATATAGTAGCCTTGTTCTATCCTGTAAGACATCATACCCTATAATAGTTCTTCTCTGTATGGGATCCAGTATTCTGCAAACAATGAAGAATGTAAAGCATACTTAGCTCCTTTGTGCCTTCCTTTGAACCTTGATCTTTTTCCTTAAATGGTTTCTTGCAACTCTTCTTCATCTTGCAGGTGATTTAGAGTTGTTTAGTCACTCAGTCATGTCCAGCTGTTTGCAACCCAATGGGCTATAGCCCACCAGGCTTCTCCGTTCATGGAATTTTCCAGGCAGGATTACTGGTGCAGTTTATTAACATGTCAGGCCATTTCTCTCTGTCAGTCTGTTTTTTGCTGCATTGTGCAGCTTGACGTGCAGGGATCTTACTTCCCCCATCAGGGATTGAACGCCAGGCCATGGCAGTAAAAGCACCAAATCCTAACCACTAGACCACCAAGAGAAGCTTCCCTTATGACTCAGAGGTAAAGCATCTGCCTGCAATGCAGAAGACTTGGATTTGATCCCTGGGTCGGGAAGATCCCCTGGAGAACAGAATGACAACCCACTGCAGTGTTCTTGCCTGGGAAATACCATGGACAGAGGAGCCTGGTGGGCTACAGTCCATGGGGTCCCAAAGAGTCAGACATGACTGAGCATGCATACACTGGAGGCCACCAGGGAATTCCTCGTCAGGCCACATCTCTTGAATAGAGACCCCAGCAAGTCAGATCAGCCTGGTGGCTATCTCTCTGACATTTTCCCCTTACCCTTCCACTGGCCAAAAATCTTGAGTGATTTTGACCTAGAGGGACCTCGTATTTACCCTCTAAGGAAAACACTGGCCAGAAGGACAGGAATGAAGATTGGGCAACTGACTGCTCGTGCAAGGTGCATTCCTAGGCATGTTGAATGAGTAAAGAAATCCACTTCACCTCAGTTCCACTGGCATTTTCAGAGCCTCATCCTGGCTCTCTGAGATCTAGAACTCCAAGATAATTTAAAAGCACAATAGAAGAATGATTTAAGAAATTTGAAAAGACAAGCTAGCTTATTTCCAGCTGCCAGCTAGATCAAGTGCCACTACAGTTAGAAGTGTTTTCCGAGCTACTTCAAACAGTGATGAGAATCACACAGGTAATACCTGTCTAAATTAGATGATTCCCAATGGTTAGGAAGTGGAAATCTCATTCTCATATGAAATAGACTGACCACTGTTCATTTTATACAAACTTCTATAATTGTTAGAAATTAAAAAAAAAAAACAGGAATACCAAGAATGTGACAATACCTGCCTAACCACTTAAACTGATGATTATGAATATTTTGTTATATTGACTTCATCTTATTTTTATTAGTAAAATAAACATGACTGGTAACATTGAAGTTTGTGGTGCCATGAACCCCTCGTACATTGTACTGTCCTGAACCACTGTCACGAATGAAGTTTGTGCCATTCCTGTGCACTTCTGTACTATTACAGGCACATATATGAAATCACATTTTGCAAAAACTCCAGGGATTGAACTCACAGCAGTGAAAGCGCCAGGTCCTAACTACTGGGCCACCAGGGAATTCCCCCTACCCCGCTCCCCCATCACAACAACTTTTTAAGATTTCAGATGGGGAAATGGCTTTGCCTTTCAGACTTAAAAATGCAGTCTCATTCCCATAACTTCGTTTGCAAACCCAGTTGCCATCTCATTTTTTCAAACTCTTTAAAATTAGCTGAAACCTTTCACCTTTTAAGTAGGGTTTTTGCTGCAGGGGGCTGTCTGTCCTCAACTCTGGGATGTGTCTAATGGAGAGCCTTGTGTTTCACGTTTGTAAGTGATAAGAGGGGGAGGTGGCAGCTTTACAGAGATCAGGTTTCAAGTCCAGCCCTAGTTTTTATGTGTGTGGGAATGGACGCAAAGGAAAACACAGCTGAGCTGCATTGTGGCTCTTCCTGTCGAACCTGTTCTCGGCCAGGGTGAGTAAACCGGGAGCAATGTCTCCTTCGCCCAGCCTCCAGTGAAATTTGTGCCTGGATTCAAAGCAACTTACTTCACAGGAAATACCATCTGAATCTCCCCCATACCCCGTGTGGAAAGGGCATCTCTCTCCCGGGGAAGTCAGCTAGAGAGAACTTGGCCGTCCTCTCCCTGATGGAGGAAGGAATGGAACCGGGGTGGTGTCACTTGGAGGAATTGCTGATGTCAGGAGCGTGTCAGCCGTGGGAGGCTTGGTTTGTGAAACTGAGTTACACCTAAGTGTCTTAGGAAACTCGGTGCAGAACTCACCGGAGCTGCCCGGCTGGGACAGGAGGGAGCGGGGGAGGGAGAGAGCACCTCGGAGATTCCCTTCCCCTTGCTATCTCACTTGTGGAATCTTGGGATTAAAAGACATGAAAGCCTGGAAACTACAGACATTTTAGGAAATCGGTATGTACCTTTAAGCTCCCACGAATTCCTCTTTTTACCCGGGCGAGGGTTGTAGTTAGACTCTATGTGCTCAGACGACGAAGGGCTGTGTTCTCAGTGGGTGATGTTTTATTTCTCTGGGGTGGGGGGTCCAGTTTGAACAGGTCTGTCTCCCAGCTGTATGTGCATAGGAACCGTCGGCTTGGGCTGTTCCTTTTAGATGAGGTTGGTGAAAAGTCTTGGTTCCTGCACCCCAGGAAATGGTTTTGCTGGTGGTGCATTGGAGAGAAGTTATTTTCTTAATGATCAGAATGTTTTATGAAGATTCTTTGAACGTAAGTTAAAAATCCAGCTAAAGTCTAATAATGGAATGAAATTGCTGTGCTAGTATTTCTCTGGCCAACAAGACTGGGATGGAGAAAAGGAATTCCCAACTATGAAGTCAAAGTTCAAAGGACAGGCTGGATCTCAGGCTAATGTGAAGGGTTGGGAATGAACCCAGAAAATGCAGGAGGGCCCACTCAATTCTGTGAATGAGCTGCTTTTTACACGTTAAATTTTCAGATGCCCATTGCTAGTAAGTTGTATTTCTCCCACCCAACTGACAGATATCTAACACCTCGTGCAGCATTATAGTATCAACAGTGGGAATATGTTGATGAATTCTCTTACAAAAACTGGAAGCTCTAGCTCAGAAACCAGGAGGGCAGTGTCAGCATTCACTCCCATCCCACCGAGCCTTCAATTCCAAGCACTCAGTTCCTGTGGCATTTAGGGGAACTCTTGTAGGCGGGGAAATTATCACTGAGAATCACCCCTGCTTGGGGTTCCGTTTTACTTTCACTTTGCATTCTTTTGAAATTTAATCTGTGGTCTTATTGAAACATCCCTTTGAATCTCTTTCCATTTAAATATGAAGTCAACATCTTTGATCAGAAGGCATGTGCTTACTGGAATCTACAATTTCCTTACTCACCCTTTTATTTAGTTGAGTCAAAGGAAAAATAGTATGCATGTTCCCCACAGTTGGTTGGTTTTATTGTTCAAGAAACAGTGATGAAGTGAAGATTACTGTCAAAAGAAGGAATAAAGTTGTTTCACACCATAGTTGATTTGTAAAAAGGTGCATGCCTAATCTCAAACTTAATTCTTGATTTTTTTTATTATTAAGCTGATTTCTAGACTTAGTAAAAGTTAACATTAATTAAAGCTGTGTGGTGTTTCTGTTTTCTTCATTTCTTAGTTATTCCAATGGAAACAGCTGGAGAACTTATATTTCCGTGAGAAAAAGTTTGCTGTTGAAGTTCACGATCCACGGAGGTGAGAATAAAAGCCTTTTTTTCTGTATGGGTCCGGTGACTAGCCACATATGCTGCTATGAATATTCATGTGCACATGTTTTCATTTCTCTTGGGTACATACCTAGGAGTAGAATTGCTTGATCAAATCGTAACTCTTTCTTTGACCTTCTGAGGAACTGCCAGACTGTTTTCCAAAGCAGCTAACCCTTTTACATCCCTACCACAATTGTGTATGGTTTCATTTTCTCCACATCCTCTAATATCTGTTATTTTTCTCTGTGTGTTTGTGTCTGTCTGTGTGTGTGTGTCTGTGTGTCTGTGTGTCTGTGTGTGTAAATAGCCATCCTGATGGTGTGCAGCGATAACTCATACTGGTTTGGATTTGCTTGCTGAGCATCTTTTCATGGACTCATTGGCCATTTGTCTACCTTCCTTAAAGAAATGTTTAGCAAGACAAATGATTTTTATTTTATTTTATTTTTTTAAGAGTTTGAACTTTTTTTTTTTTCATTTATTTTTATTAGTTGGAGGCTAATTACTTTACAATATTGTAGTGGGTTTTGCCATACATTGACATGAATCAGCCATGGATTTACATGTGTTCCCCATCCTGATCCCCCCTTCTGCCTCCCTCCCCATCCCATCCCTTTGGATCTTCTCAGAGAAATGTTTATTCAGATCCTTTGCTCATTTTTAAGTTTGGTATTCTTGGTCACTTAAAAAAAAAGTTCCTAAATTATCAACATGAATTAAAGTCAAGATTGTAGGCTCTCCAAGTTCCTCAGAGGAATTTCTTATCAGCCCTCAGTGGTTGCTTTTCAGATATAAGTTTATGGATATTTGGAGGTCAGAAGGATGGAGGAAACAGCTGTGGCAAAAAGATGACCTGAAGATATAAGGCAGATTCCTCCAAAGAACATTGGTGCTCTTCTTCCCCCAACCCTGCCGCCCCCTCTTTCTTTCTCTTGCTCTGTCCTCCTCTGACCCTCTCTCTTTTCATCCAGTACATAAGCAGTAATCTGGGCCAGTTTTGGACATGCATATTATCAGACAATATTATTATGTTCATCCTCTGATAGTACCAAAGCCAGACAATTACACCTAGATCTGAGATGCTCTCTTACCTTGGAGGAAGGTGCTGATCCCACAGGTCGTGATTGCTTGATCTTTAAAGTAACACGTTTATTCTCACCTTTTTGTGATGGTCCCACATCCTGTGGTCTTTAATTTGATGTTTTTAGTACAGTCTCCAATGTGGCTGATTTTCATCTGCTTTGAAATAATTTTTATTTTCTATTATTTCCAGTATCATGCTTCTGTGCAGAGTACAGAATGTTTATGTATATAAGCCTACTAGACTTAGGTTTTTCTAAAATGTTGTATGGTTGACATATTAATAATCATTTTCTCTTAATTACTTTTTAAATTTTCATTTTATATTAGAGCATAATTGTTTAACAATGTTGTGTTAGTTTCATCTATACAGCAAAGTGATTCAGTTACACATATACATGTGTCTATTCTTTTTCTAATACTCTGCCCATTTTCTCATCTGCTTTTGAAGATGTGTGTTTGTGTTGTTTAATATACTGCTTTTACGAGAAGATATTACCCAGATGTGATTGGCTTTTTCATAAAAAGGAGAGAATCAGAAGCTTGGACCTTGAAGGCAAGGGTGTGGCAGAGGAAAAACAATTAAGGAGATGCTTTGTTACAACATTACCTACTGGGTACATTTGATGTTATGCTGGGCCAGAAACAAATCATGAGTGCTTTCCTTCATCTTTTAGGATTTCAGTATCCAGAAGAACCTTTGGACAGAGTGGCCTATTTGTGCAAACGTGGTATGCGAACTCCTCTCTCATCAAGTCCATCTGGGTAATGGCAATTAGTCAACATCAGTTTTACTTGGACCGGAAGCAAAGCAAAGTAAGTAACTGAAAGTATTTCTACAAGGACAAAGTCCCATCCCTCATTTACTTTCCGTTCAGAAGATAAACTTTCTTAGAAAAGATGCAACCTCATGGGTTTTTGTTTCTTGAGTCTTGCTTTTTTTTTTTTTAATTTTACTACCAGTTGTTTTCATTTTTCTTACATTTAACAGATGGGCAACATATAGCCTGCTCTGAAAGTTCTAAGATTTGCCAACTTTTAGGCATTGTGTGTGTGCGCACTCATGACTTTTTAGTAAAAGGCGAAAGATTTATACGATCTGAAGAGAAACCAGAGTATGATGACTTTTTAATGTTAATGATTGAACTATACCATGAGGAAGAATCATGCCTGATTAATGAAACATTTTAGCGACAAAGCTGAAGTCTGAATTTTTTTTCTGAAAAATACCACTATGGTATATAAAAATTCTATATTGTCCTTTGTGTTGACATTTTTATTCCATATTAACTGAATCATTTTATTAATTCAGAATAGGTGTAACTGAATGAATTCCCTTTCCATGTTGTATTAGGCAAAAATCCCTTCAGCTAGGAGTTTAGACGATATCGCAATGGACTTGACGGAGACAGGAGCACCAAGGGTCTCCAAACTGGTAACACTCGAGGCAAAAAGCCAGTTCATTATGGCAAGCAACGGCAGTTTAATTTCCTCAGGTAATATTTTTGGGTTAGAGAGCGTGCAAGCCTTCTGTATCTTAATTTACATTTTTTGTTGTTGTTGTAAACCACTTTTAAATGTATCTTTTAACCCATTATTTCTGGAATAAGCAAGCATATGAGAATCTGTAGTGTACAGCAGTTTTGAATAAAATTCTGAAATTACTTTTTAAAAGAATATGAAGCAAGTTAAGTTATAAAGTTCAGGTTGTATAATTAACACTAGCCGCAGCAGCAGCTGAGACAGTGAGTGCCTCGAGGTAGCTTGCAAGAATATTTTCTCCCCATCAGGTCCATAAGCTTTTTTTTCTCCAATGTGTGGTGTTTGATACAGACAGTTGTCTTAATTTTCCATTTAACATAAAATCAACCATGATTACAACCCTTGAACTCCATCTCACCCCCAAAGTGATTTTTGCTCCTAAACCCTTACTATGCAGACATTTATATGAGAGTATCACTAAGTATATGTAATTCACTAACAATATTCTCATCTAAATCCCATTGTCAGCTTGTGAATCTGAAACATAGAATATCCTTGTCTTGCTAACTTTCCAAAAGAACATTCCAAACAACTATCTCTAAGAGCACCTTACCTTCTCTCCTGCTCAGAAAAATGAATTTTTTCATTGAGTGTGTCTGAAACATTAAACATTTTATCATTGCTTCCCAAATGATTGAACCGAAATGCAGAAGGCATATATTATTACCAGGTTCTGTTAGATGCCCAGAAGCATGAGAAAATGTTCTCCAGTTTCCTTTTATTATGTTCAGAAACAAGGAGAAAAGAAAGAAACTATTATTAAATAGCAGGTTTGGCTTAAAAATCCTTTGTCCTCTGAAAAGGAAGGAAACATGCCTATATAAACCTTCCCTGCCCTCCCTCCCCACCTCCAGGTTCTCAAGACTCAGAAGTCAGTGAGGAGCAAAAGAGAGAGAAGATCCTTGAACTCAAGAAGAAGGAAAAACTGTTGCAAGAAAAGCTCCTGAAGAAAGTTGAAGAGCTTAAGAAGATCTGTTTGCGGGAGGCTGTGAGTGTCTTCTGCTTTGGGGAACATTTCAAATTGTGTTTGACAGTTCCAGCCAGGGTCAGTAATCTCCCTCTTGGTTCTGTCCTGTTTCATAGGAGCTCACAGGCAAAATGCCCAAGGAGTATCCTCTGAATGTAGGTGAGAAACCTCCTCAGGTCAGAAGGCGTATAGGTACCGCGTTCAAATTAGATGACAACCTGCTGCCAACTGAAGAGGTATGGGCGCCGGTTCTGGGCACGTCTATCAACAGTGAGGCAGAAAAGCTGTCAGTTGAATGTAGCTGACTTGTTCCTTTGGTTTTTGAGTTACTGTTGTATGTTTTTATCTCACCAGTTAAAGGTGATCATGGAGACCAAGTTGAATTCTTTCCTTCATGCACAGTTTAGTTAAAATTGAGTTCTCATGACTTTACTCCTCCAAACAGAGACAGTATTAAATGAACTCCTAAGTATTTATAAATTGAGAAACATTATTTTAAGAATTAAGAATTCCAGCACTAGAGTCTCCCACTTAAAACAGTAGCCTTTGGCAAATCACTGACCTCTCTGAAGTCTCAATTCTCTGGTTTTCTTGTCAATAAAATAAGGGTAATGATTGTTCTTCCCTCTGAGAGATGCAAGGAGTATTCAGTGAGATAACACGTGTATAGCACTTTAGGTGTAGTAAAGTTAAAAGGTTTGTTAGCCAATAGAGAGGGTACTTTCCTATTTGTGTTATCAGACAGTATGACCCTATTCATGTTTCTTGTAGAAATTTGGCCATCTTGGCTTTAGAAAATAGTAGCAGTTTCCATTAATAATAAAGTGAGCATTGCTGTTTGCTGTTTATTAAGTGTCCAGTGTATACCCAGCTCTGAGCTAAGCAATGCACATACATTGTTTTCTTTCTTCTTCACCATACTTGCATAAGGTTGATGTTGCATCCATTTTACAAGTAAAAAAACTGAAGCATTAAAAATTAAATAGTATCTCCAGGGCCATGCAACCAGGAATTAACCCAGAAAGAAGAATGGAATCTCAGTTTATCTGTTTCTGAAGCTGTGCATATGACTGTAACATTCTCTGGCTACGAATCTTGGGTGAAAGATACCTTCTTGAAAAATATGATCTTCATCCAACCAGTTGAATGAATGGAAGGCCAATTCCCTTCTTTGAAAAGGAAAGAGAATTGAACTGTTAAGTTAAAGTAAATGGAGGAGGGAGGTCTTGTCTTCTAAGAAACTGTTTTAGAATATCTAAGCAGTAAAACTTAGGAAGATCTCATTCACAAAGAGGGAGGTCTTGTCTTCTAAGAAACTGTTCTAGAATATCTAAGCAGTAAACCTTAGGAAGATCTCATTCACAAAGAGCATCTGATGTGAGAATGCATGAGAAAGAGAAATTTTATTATCCAGGACATATGAGAGTGACTGTGTGTGTCCATAAAATAAAGCAATATCATGTGAATGTAGGATCCTGCTTTGCAAGAACTGGAGAGCAATTTCCTAATACAGCAAAAGCTGGTTGAGGCTGCGAAGAAGCTTGCCAGTGAGCCCGACCTTTGCAAAACCGTGAAGAAAAAACGAAAGCAAGATTACACGGATGCAGTGAAAAAGCTTCAGGAGATTGAAAATGCTATAAATGAGTACCGCATTAGATGTGGAAAGAAACCCAGCCAGAAAGCAACAGTTATCTTACCAGGTTAGTAACTAGTGAGGTTTTTTTGAGTCATCTAAGTCAGTCCTCTTGATGGAATGTACTGTTTCCAAACCAGTTCATTTGATGAGCGAGAAAAGAGTGGATTGATCCTTAAGTTTCTTAGGATAAAAATGATTTGGAGTTTCATTCTTACAAGTATGTTAACTTGGTTTTCTGTGACCTTCTCACTGTTTTAATACTATACTATTGCATTGCTTTAATTTTCAGGATGAAAGAGCTTTACACAGCAATATTGTTCCCCAATAAGAGAGATTCATCTTTAACTGGCTTGATGTCATTGCAAGAAATATATTTGAAAACACAGAGTATTAAGACAGCTGGGCCCTACATAATAGTTTCTCAGAGATTTTTAATGCGGCAGACCGTGTATTTTTTTAAGGACCTATCCAATATATGTGCATAGAAAAGAACTCTTACAACTATGGTTATTTATGGAGGCTATTTATGGACATATGTTCCTATTGTATTATGAAATGCAGAAGGCAGAATACAAAATTGTAGCCACAAAATAGTCCTGACATTGTATAAATATGTATGCATAGAGACTGGTTGGGAAGAGTTTAAATATGTTAATAGTTGTAGAATTTCATGTCAATTTTCTTCTTAATTCTCTTTAGTGTTTTCAAAATTCTCAATATCATGTATCTAAAACTAATATTCAGAAAAAAATTAAACTGAAAAATCTCATTTAGGTGGATTTCAAGTCCAACTGGCCTTCTATGTTTATTAGCATGGTTTTTAGCCTTGATCATTTGTTGAACTATGATTGTTTCTTTTGATTCCAAGACATTTTTTCTCCCCATTTAAGCATCTGTGAAATTGGGATAATTCTTATTCTAGATGAGGCATTACAGTTATGATCAGTACTTTTTCTTTTTTTTTACTGGGATATCAAGTAGTTATACATCTTAGATTTGACGAAATATGGTAATGAGGTTTAAAGTATACTCAGCTTTAGGGCATATGATTTGAAAAGCAGAGATACGGCTTTTTGGTAAGTGAATACATGGACATCAACACACAAGTGTTCATCAACTACAGCTGGGGAATTTAGGATGGTTTTGACTCAATGCAAAATCCAGTTGGCCTCGTTGGTGGCCACACTCTGGACCTATAGGAGATGGGTGGTGAGCAGGGCACTTAATTTTGATAGCCATTTGTTGTGGCCCATTCATCTCCAACTGTGTAAGATTAAAACGTTATCCTTTACAGTGACTGACATTTGGGCAGCACTGATGCCAATGCTTGACTATATATCGAGTGGATTATTTTTAAAGCCTGCCTGACAGCTGACTATACTGGCATCTTGCCTTCAAGCTCTACCATGTGTCCAATTAAGAGACAGTCCTCTTGGCTCTGATAGAGATTAATTTTAGATTGGATGGGGAGATTCACTTCATAATGGCTTCGAAGCTTACATTGAGGTGTCACATTTGTCTGTAACCTTGCCCATCCTTGACAACTGAATATGGAAAGATTTGCCAAAGCACATCAACACATCAGAGATGTCACTTTTTAAAAAAATTTTATTGGCAAATAGTTGCTTTATAATATTGTGTCAGTTTCTGCTATATAGCAAAGTGAGATGTCGCTTTTTGCTAAACCCATTTTGTAACATTTGACAAGCACCAATAATAATCACATTTTTATGGGCATTTCCAACCACCAGACTTCTTTCACTAGAATGCTGTATGTAGGTAACCAAAGTAATAAGTATAGTTAATATTTATTGAGCATTTGTCTTGTACCAGGACCAAGGCCAAGGGCTTTACATCTATTATGTCATCAAATGCTCACCAAAGTGCTAAACACCAGGTACTATTCTCATCCCTATTTTAGAGTTGAGCCAAATGATTTTTGGAGAGATTAAGTAACTTGCCCAGGGTCTCCCAGCCAATAATTGACAAAACCAAGCTTTGAATCCAGGTCTATCTCTTTGAGTGGTTCTCAACCAGTGGCAATTCTGCATCCCTGGGAAGTGTCTGCAGACATGTTTGATTGTCAAAAGTGAGGGTGGGAATGGTACTGATATCCAGGGGTAAGCGGCTAGAGATCCTACAGTGCAAAGGATAGCACCCCCCAACAAAGAATTATCTAGTCTAGAATGTCAGTAGTGCTACCCAGTGTTAGGAAACCCTAGTCTGATTGAGAAGCTTCTGTACCACAAAAGTCCTCACTCTATCAAGAAAAAGCCCTTCTCTTAAGAAGAGAGCTCAGAAAATAAGTTATCCTAACAGTGCAGTAGATTCTCAAAGGAAGGTTCTCAAGTCTGTTCCATTGTAAGAAATAATCCAGTGTAATATTTGTATAGTAGGTAAGATGTTTATGTCTTAAGTGGTCAATGAGTCCATTCTCACAACAGTTAATTACTCCTAATGCACTATATCTGGTTGCATTTACCTAACTAAAAATAAGATGCACTCCATTGAAAATTGTTTTATTGAACTATTAGGAGTGTCCAAAGGCACCGTTGTACTAAAGACAGTTTATTTTGTTCACAGAAGACATCATCCCATCAGAAAGTAGCTCCTTGTCTGACACTACCACCTATGATGATCGTAAGTAGCTCTCCCTTTTCAATTTAAAATGTTACATATTCTGAAATACTAAGAAATTTTTTGAGTAGGAAAGCTTATTTATTACTTTTTTGGGAAAAGTAGAATCAACTAGCTTACATTTATAAAGAATGGTTGGGAAAGGGGCTAAGATTAGCTTTTACACAGGTTGTGCTATGCTGTGCTTAGTCGCTCAGTCGTGTCTGACTCTTTACAACCCCATGGACTGTAGCCCACCAGGCTCCTCTGTCCGTGGGGATTCTCCGTGCAAGACACTGAAGTGGATTGCCATGCCCTCTTCCAGGGGATCTTCCCAACCCAGGGATTGAACCCAGGCTTCCTTTTACACAGGTTAGCTCAGGATTAAATATAATATCGTACAAATCACATGACTTCGGTGAATCAAAGTACTATAATATGAGTAAATAGGTATCTTGATAAGGTTTGTAAGGTTCTGCAGGACTTTTTTTTTAAGCTTTTGAATTAGCTATAGATTCACAGGCAGTTGCAAAGTAATAAAGAGTCATTCACCCAGCTTTGTCCAGTGGTGACATCTTATATATTTGGCATCTAATTACAAAACCAGGAAATAAGTGTTGTGCAGGCTACACTACAGTACCAGTAAATAATGGAAACTTTGATTTTTCACTGTCTACTTATTCTGGATAAGTGGGAGTTTATTTTCCTTAGGAAGAAGCACATATCTTAGAAATTGTGTTACATGTTGCTGTGTCGGTTTCCTAGAAGTAGACCTTATCTATTGTAATGACGCATGTTCAGCACATTTCATGATGGAATGGATTTCATATCAAGTGGTAGAATATTTCCTTATAATCCCTTCCTTGTGCTTAAGCAGAGGAGCTGGCTGTCTGTTTGATGTGACTTAAAGAATTCAGAAAAAAAAAAAAAAGAACTCAGGAAGCCACTAAACCCTACTGCTTTATCTTCTTCCAAATGGAATGGTTTGTGAAAGTCTGCCATTTCAGAACTCTTCTTAGCTGAGGTTTGGCCATGCTTGCCACTGCTCTTTGAAAATACAACTATCAGTGAGAGACATTAACAAGTGCCTAATGACTCATCATAAATCAGTTTCATTCCTGTCAGAGATAGGATAAGTCTTTGGTCAGCCAAGGAGGCCTAAGAATGTTAAAATAAAGCTGAGCAAAACTGATTCAGTCCAACTTTACAGGCCAACTTCCTCTTGGCCCTTTATAAAACACTGAGATTTTTCTGTGGTATAACTCTTGTAAAGCATCACCCATTACACCTGAGAGATTTATGTGCTCACAGTGGCTCCTATTGAGTTGACAGAAGTTGGGTCCGTCCCCACAAGAACGTTCAGTAATTTCTATTTTCTATTGTGTAAAATATAAAAATACATTTCCTGGAACTTAAACACTTTTAAAATTACATTCTTTGGAACAACATTTTACTCACCAGACAGATCTTCCACTTTATTTGGGGGAGGGAGGTGTTGGCAAGGCATTTGTTTACTTTTTTATTTATCTAGTTATTCATCCATTCACTTATTATAGCCAATGATACCTTCACTCTTGCTGGGCAGCGATCAAGTTCAGTACCTCATTCTCCAAGAATTCTTCCTCCCAAGTCTCTCGGTATTGAGAGAATTCATTTCAGAAAGTCATCCATCAATGAACAGTTTGTGGATACCAGACAGTCCAGGTAAGAAGACACATCATCAGTGAGGTGAATGCCTCACCACTGTAAGATGTTTTCTCCAAAACAGTCAACCTATTTTTGTTTTATCCTGTTTATTCTTTCAGGAAGGATTATCTTATAAAATCAAGTGTAGAATCTAACCCAGTTATTTGTTGTTGGCAGCAAGTGGAAATGTTTTTAAAGAGGTCTTTTAAAAAATATTTGGCTGTTTCCTTAAAGTCTATTTGGTTTATATTAAATTATAGAGGCATTAACTATAAATCTGAATTTGGATATAGTGTCAAAGTTCTGTTTCATCACCCAAGGTCTCAGGAACATTTAATACAACTCTACCAGGCAATAGAACTGACTTCTAATCTTTCAAAGGAAAATGGGACTGAGTACATTTTTAATCTGGAACTTCTTATCAAGTGTCTCAAGTAAATATTTTTGGGACCATAACTTTTTAAAAGAGTAAAGACCAGTGATTGCCAGAATTTGGCTGCATGGATCACTACTAGGTTTTTTGTTTGTTTGTTTTTTATAATTGGGTCCAAGATAGGATTAGCAGCTTTTTACTTCGCCTAATTAGTATGTTCACACAAACAGCACTGTGAGTTCATGAAAAAATGACACATATCCAAAATACAGTCATTGTTGTAGTAATAATAAGATTAACATTTGTTGAGCACTTAGTATGTGCCAGACAGTGTTTCAAGTGTTTAATATATAATAACAAATTTAGTCGTAAGAAAACGCTCATTGTATTACTACCATCCTTAGCATTTACAGATAAGTACAGTGAGGACCAGAAAGCATGAATCACTTGTTGGGTTCATCAGTTAGCAAATGTCAGAATTGGGATTTGAACCGACATAGCCTGACTGCAAAGCCTATGATGTGATTTTAGCCAACATGTTTTATTGCATCTCAGAAAAAATGGAAATTAGTCTCAAAATAAAAGAGGATTATTTAGATGAAATGATTTTTCACTCATGAAAAGAGAACCAACATTTCGTTATATTTCTGATTTGTCAAAGATAGCCTGACTGCAAAGCCTATGATGTGATTTTAGCCAACATGTTTTATTGCATCTCAGAAAAAATGGAAATTAGTCTCAAAATAAAAGAGGATTATTTAGATGAAACGATTTTTCACTCATGAAAAGAGAACCAACATTTCATTATATTTCTGATTTGTCAAAGACCGGTGAAACCTTTATTTCATATTAGCCCCAGTTTGTAGATTAGCATCTAAGAACTGTTGCCTTAAACACTAGAGATCCAGGTGTCTAGAGCTGTGGTGTCCAGTTCAATTAAAAGCAAATAAAATTTAAAATTCAGATCTTCAGTCCTACCAGTCGCATTTCAAGTCCTAATAAGCACATGTGGCTGATGTCTGTGATGCTGGGCAGCACAGATAGAGTTCATTTCTATCACTGAAGAAAGTCCTGTCAGACAGCACTGGGCAGGTGTGTTTATTATATCAGGGAAAACAAAGCTGTTTCAGCAAAAGGAATCATAACTGGGAAAATGATTATCTTAAAAAATTATTATGCCTCCATCCCCTATAGCTTAAGATGTGTTTGCTCTTTCATCCAGCAATTTCACTTCTAGGAATTTTTCCTCTTGAATTAACTACAGGATGCTTATCTTACAGCATTGTTTATACTAGTGACAAATAAAAACACCTCAAATGCTCAACTAGTGGATTGTGTAAGTAAATTATGGTCAGTCTTACGGTGGAATGCTGTACACTCATTAAAATAACAGTGCGAGTGAATATTAAGCAACATAAAATGTTAGATCAAGTTGTGTTTTTTCCTTAAGTGGGTTTTGAAAGAGAATTTATAGTAAGATCTAATTTTTTGTTTTTAAAGGTATAAACACAGTATTTTTTAAAAAACTTTTTTGTTGTGCTTTTGTAGTAAGTGAGGTATAATCAAAGTTGTTTTTAATTAAAAAAATAATTTCAAATTGTGTTCTCACTGTGCTGGAAAGTGGACAAGGCAATTTAAGAATGCTGTGAATGACTGTTACCGGCCAAATTCAGCCTGTGACCCATTTGTGTATCTCCCATGAGCTAAGCATGGTTTTTAGAATTTTGAATAACTGGAAGGGAAATTAAAAACAGTAATAATTTTTGTGACAATTTTGTAACATAAAAATTATATGAAAGTTGAATTTCAGTATCCACAGTCAAATCTGATTGGCACACAGCCACCTCCAGTCACATACATATTGTCTACACTGCTCTCTTACTTCAAGGGCAGAACTGAATCATTGGGATAGCCTGCAAAGCCAAGAATACTTCCTGTGAGACTTTTTACAGAAAAAGGACTTTCTACCCCTTCTCTCCTTGCTTTCAATCTATTTTATTCAGTACACTCTTTTTCAAAAGTCTTTTCGTTTTTTTCCTTCATATTTATGACTCAGAGTCAGATCACTTGTGCTTCCCCTAAGACTCATCTAAGATCCACCCGGATACTAAACCACAAAGACAGTTTTCCCAATTATCTCTTTATGTTCCCATTCCTTCAGCTTGCTGTAAGTTTCTTTCTTTTTTTTTTTAATTGGAGTATAGTTGATTTACATTATTGTATTTGTTCAGGCATATAGCACAGTGATTCAGTTACACATAAATATATATATAATTATCAGCAGTTATTCATATATATATATTTCAGATTCTTTCCCCTTATAGGTTGTGATAAAATATTGAGTATAGTTCCTTGTACTATATAGCAGGTCCTTGTTGAGTATCTATTTTATTTTATGTTGGAATGTAGTTGATTAACAATGTATTAGTTTCAAGTATACAATAAAGTGATTTAGTTATACATATACATATATATGGGGTTTCCCTGGTGGCTCAGATGGTAAAGAATCTGCCTGAAGTGCAGGAGACGCCGGAGACATGGATGCAATCCCTAGATCGGGAAGATCCCCTGGAGAAGGAAATGGCAACCCACTCCAGTATTCTTGCCTGGGAAATCCCATGGACAGAGGAGCCTGGTGAGTTACAGTTCATNCATGTATTCCCCATCCCGGTTCTCCCTCCCACCTCCCTCTCCACCCGGTCCCTCTGGGTCTTCCCAGTGCACCAGGCCCGAGCAGAGCGAAGTAAGCCAGAAAGATAAAGTATCTTACAGTATCTGTTGACTTTTGCTCTAAGATTTTGTTTCACTCTGCTGTGTTTTTAATCACTTTCTGCAGGAGGACTTTATGGCTCTACATTTTCTATCCACTTAACAGTTCAAATATTTTCTAAGCTGAGAAAATGTTCTTGAAATATATTTTGCTTGGGTAGATACTGGATGTTTTGTGCCTTAATTCTTCCAAGCAGACATTACTCTCTTTTATTCAATGGTATGGATGAAGATAATGACAACAGTGATATTTTGAAGTGTTTACTTGAAGGCTGTTGTGCTGTTTTATATGTCCTATATTATTTAGTCCCCACAAGAAGTCTGATTGGAGATATTAGGTACTGTTTTTGTCCTCATTTTACATTAAAGAGAGGACGATTAGTTAAATATCTTGCCCATGTTCATAGAGCTGGGACGTGATGGAACCATGAGTCAACCCAGAGATCTCCGGTAGCCTAGCCAGGCTTTACCCGCCTCCACCCCATGAATGCTCCCTTCACCCTAGTCTTTGTATCCTGCTCTCCTGTTGGGAAAAAGGATCTTCCAAAGACATGTGGGTTTTTCTTAGGCTTTGATGCAGGCTGTCCATCATCAGTTTAGCCTCTCTATTTTCAAACAGGAATGTGGACTGCCCAATTGACGGAACCTATTTCTTTTCTCATTTTGACCATGTGAACCCAGTGACTTCTGTTATGGGTCAGCTTTGGAAACCTAAAAAATACTATTGCAGTTCAAGAGCTATCAACTCATTCGACATGATGCCCTTTTCCCTTATTTCAGCCCTCTTTTCCTTCTTTGTCCTTAGCAAGCTTGCCTCTCTCTCCTCTTTCAGACCCGAGCCTTCGTCTCAGCACTGCCGCCAGCGAAGTGGAAGCCTCGAGTCTCAGTCTCACCTGCTCTCCGAGATAGACCACGAAAAGCCATTTTTCTCCCTCTCCAAATCCCAAAGAAGCAGCAGCACCGAAATCCTGGATGACGGATCTTCCTACACTAGCCAGTCGAGCACGGAGTATTACTGCACCACGCCCGTGGCCGGTCCCTACTACACCACCCAGACGCTGGACACTCGCTCCCGGGGTCGCAGAAGGTCCAAGAAGCAGAACGTCTCAACTTCCAATTCGGGAAGCATGCCCAACCTAGCACACAAGGATAGCCTGAGGAATGGCGTCTACTCCAAGAGTCAGGAGCAGCCTTCTTCCAGCTACTACATTGCCGGGTACACGCCCTACGCGGAGTGTGACGTCTATTACGCCGGCGGCTACGTCTACGAGAACGACACGGAGGGACAGTACAGTGTGAATCCTTCCTACCGGTCGTCCGCCCACTACGGATACGACCGCCCAAGGGACTGCAGCAGGTCCTTTCACGAGGACGAGGTCGACCGGGTGCCCCATAACCCGTATGCCACACTCCGGCTGCCGCGGAAAGCTGCCGCCAAGTCCGAGCACATCACCAAAAACATCCACAAGGCCTTAGTGGCAGAGCACCTGCGAGGCTGGTACCAGCGGGCCTCCGGGCAGAAGGAGCCGGGCCACAGCGCACAGACTAGCTTTGACTCAGACAGGGGCTCGCAGAGAAGCCTGGGCTTTGCCGGCCTGCAGGTCCCCTGTTCTCCGAGCAGCCGTGCGTCTTCCTACTCCTCAGGTAAGAATGGTACCCAGAGTGCATCTTCCTCATGGCCCCCTATTCCTGCCCCACCCCACCCCAAACCACCCTCCTCGGGGGTGCATGAGACCAGGACCCAAGGTCAGACAAGCGGCAGCCATTGGGTGGAGAGGCAGGTTCAAGTCTTAACAGACCTTCCCTGGGTTGGGGGCTTCCATGTATTTTTATCTTTTCTGGGTCTTTAAAGTGTTCTGGGCGTTGGGATTATGAAATACACGCTGCTATATATAAAATAGATAACCAACAAGGACCTACTGGATAGCAGAGGGAACACTGCTCAATATTTAATTAATAACTTATAAGGGAAAAGATTCTGAGAAAGAAATACTAACACTAATAAATATATATGAAAAGTGAAAGTTTTAGTCGCCCAGTCGTGTCTGACTTTTCCACCCCATGGACTAGCTTCCCAGGCTCCTCTGTCCATGGAATGCTCCAGGCAAGAATCCTGGAATGGGTTGCCATTCCCTTCTCCAGCGGATCTGCCCAGCCCAGGGATTGAACCTGGGTCTCCTGTATTTTTTACTGTCTGAGCCACCTGAGAAGCCCAATGTGTGTGTGTGTGTGTACATAAATATATAACTAAATTTCTGGGCTGTACACAACACAACATTGTAAATTAACTTTCCTTTAATAAATATAAAGTATTCATGGCATAGAGATTTGATATATTAAAAGAATAGCATAAACCCTTCAGGTAAGCAGAAAACCATCAGGATTATACATCCTTCCTTGTTCACCATGAGGAATGGGATCACCTAAAAGTTCATTCTGAATGCTCCAGTCCATGCATGAGACTTCTAAACCTCACTGGAGCTGGCATTTACTAAGCACTGTTCCTGGCACTGTTCTAAGTATTGTGCAGGTCTTGACTCAATTCAGTAATCATATATACTCCACTTTATGGCTGATCTAAGGGACTTTCAAAGATCATTTTGATTAGAGAGGCATTCTCTCCACGCGTTGACTTTGGTCCCCACCTCCACTATTACTGCTGGATATTACTGCTATTACCTGCGGACCTCCAGCTGTGCTGGGTACTTTAAGGAAAGAAATGGGAGCCTAAGAGGAGAGTGTGTTGAGCATTTCACTTCTTCAGCAAACAAGCAGGCATGTCCAAGATGTCGAGGAGCCGGTTTTGAGCCATTTCTTGGTCTGGATGAGTTCACGGTTTAGTTAGCAACCGGAGGAATATATGAACATTAAGCAATACTAAAGCTCTAAGAAACAGGAGCCATGTGAAAAAAAATGAGGTCGTGCGTCTTGCCCCCGTCTCAAGCATGACACCTCAGTGAGACATAGCTCAGGGATTCTTGAATCACTCTGTGATCATCAGTGAAAACTGTTCCTTTAAAAGTTTCCTAATGTTGTTGACAAGAGGCACTTCCATGGAGATTTCTGTTTGGGTTCTAGTGTTCTGCTATTTGTGCGAGACTTTGGACTTTCCCACTTATTACCACATCTAACATGAAAAGCCTCCTGTACTTACTTTCTTATTTGTTCTCTGATGTAGAGAAGGCCTTTCTTGCCCTTCAGGTTCAGGGTGTGACGTGAGAGACTTTCAGAAATTAAAGAATGAGGGCTGAGACGCATGTGGATGGTTATCAGGGCACAGGGCTGGAGTAAATCTACCCCATCATCTCTTTAACCATTGAGGCCAGGGACAAGCAGGTGTAACTCAGAAATTTCAACACTCCTGGCCATTGGCTCAGGACTGGGGCAAAGGTGAGAACGGAGATAACACTTCCTGGTGTGAGCCTTTCTGATAAGCAGCATGATTCGGCCCCGTGGGCCAAAAGGCATCACGTTTTTAAGGAATTAGGGAGATGGAATCAGTGCTGTCAGAATTGCCTTTTGGAATTTTCCTCGTTCCTGTCTGCATTTTATAGCTGCGGTAATGTGTTTCAACAAGCACGCATCATTCTCATGGAGAGAGACGTTTCCGATTAATAGGCCGCACCAGTCAGGGGTTTTGTAATCCCTTCTAGCCACCTAAAGGCTCTCTGGGTGACTCAGTTTTAGGAGTCAGGACAGCCACCATTTATTGGCAACTTAACGCTGTGCCACCCCGCCTGCTCAGCACTTTATGTGCACTCTCCCACTAGTGTATGCAACAATTCTGTGTAATGAAGGCTGTTGCTATGTTTATTATTACTACCCTAATCTTACAGATGAGGCACTTCTGGCTTAGGGTGCTTAAATGATCCTGCCCGTAGGAATTCTATTACTGCTCTGATAGCCCAACCACCACGCCTCACCGCCTGACTTTGAGTTATGAAACCTTCCTGGAAGTGGGACTTGTACATCCTTGAGTCAAATCCTTATGGCATTCAGGACTGCAGATGAGTTTTGAAATGTGTTAGTCTCACACTTATTACGTGTGCTTTGTGGTTATAAAAGAGAGGAGGAGGTTGGCCGCCAGCAACAGGAATCAGAGGAGAGCTGGAAGGCTCCAGGAGCAGTGTGGGACTTTTGAGTCTTGGGTGACGTGCATGGCATTGTGCACAGGAGCATGGAGCAGGGCTCATTTTAGAGTTGTTGTTGTTCAGTTGCCAAGTCTTTGCAAACCCCATGGACTGCAGCACACTAGGCTTCCCTGTCCCTCGCCATATCCCGGAGTTTGCCCAAGTTCATGTCCATTGAATCGGTGATGCCATCCAACCTTCTCATCCTCTATCGCCCTCTTCTCCTTCTGCCTTTAGTCTTATCCAGCATCAGGGTCTTTTCCAATGAGTCTGCTGTTGTATCAGTTGGCCAGAGTTTTGAGCCAGGACAGCAAATGCCCAGCAATGGGGCATTCACCAAGTTTTGCTCCCATATTATGCCTTGCTTTATTTTTTTGTTTTGTTTTTTACCATTTTTAAAGAAAAAAATTTAAATTGAGGTATAGTCAATTTACAGTGTTGTGTTAGTTTTAGGCATATAGCAATGTTATTTATTTATATATGCATATGTGTATTTATGCTCAAGTATATGTTTATGTTTATTCAGATGCTTTTCCTATATAGGTTATTATCAAATATTGAATATAGTTCCCTGTGCTATATATATAATAGGTCTTTGTTGTTTATCTGTTTTATACACAGTAGTATATATATGTTACTCCCAGATTCCTAATTTATCCCTCACCCCCACCATTTGCCCTTGGTAACCATAAGTTTGTCTTCTCTGTCAGTGAGTCTTTTTATTTTATAAGTAAGTTCTTTTGTATAATTTTTTTAGATTCCACATATAAGTGATATCATATGATATTTCTCTTTGTGATTTCACTTAGTGTGATAATCTCTGGGTGCATTATTTCATTCCTTTATATTTAGATCCTTGTCTTGTTCTAGATTAGTCCCTCAGAAGAACTAAATCTCTTCTTCCTAAAATCTTTCCTATACTATTTACCTTCCTACACCTCAATCCCAAACTTTTTTTAAAAGGCAAAAATGTGCCTTGATCCTGCTGGTGGTCGATACCACCTTTGGGTGAAGAACCCGCAGGTTTCAACAAGTCAATGTATAGAATGCATTTCCTCTAAAAGTCTCCAAGAAACTCAAACTTGTCATCTGACCTTTACAATGGGAGCCTATGAAGCTGTCCAGCCACCATAGCCTTACTTGGAGACTGGGAAGATACTTTTAGTTTATGAAAATTGTTTTTTCTGGCTTGCCTTTTGGGTTATTTTTTATAGTGTTATCTTTCAATTAACTTTACTCACATTTATAATAATAATAGCTATCATTTATTGCTAGGACCAGTGCTAAATATTTGTACTAACTAGGTTATTTAATCCTGATATTGTCCCTGTACAGAATATATTTATATTGTCCCCACTTTACAGATGAAGAAACTGAGGCTTAAAGAGGATAAACTGTTTGCCCAAGGTCACATGGCCAGTAAGTGACCAAATTGGAATAGGAACTCTCTTGATTCCAAACACTGGCTTTTAAGATTGACTCTGCACGCAGCGGATTATAGCACGCATCTGAATGACCCAAATAATTCTCACTTTGAGTAGTCCCACTAATTTTATCTCTTTTCATTTTTATTTCTAGTGTCTTCCACAAATGCTTCTGGGAATTGGAGGACCCAGATAACCTTAGGGCTATCCGAATACGAGATCCCGGCACATTCTTCCTACACGAGCTGCTATAGCAACATCTATAATCCTTTACCCTCTCCAGGCAGGTAAGAGAGCAATGCTCAAAAATTTTAGTACCCTGTTCCTGATCTAAAGAATTCAGGAATCCAATTTTATTTATGAACGCTAAATAATCTAGCTCAAGGGTTGGCAAACTATAGTCTAAAATCAGCTGCCACCTATGTTTATAAGTAAAGTTTTATTGGAAAACCAGACATGCTCATTCATTCACTTGTTGCCTATGGCTGCTTCTGTACTTATAAGGGCAGAGGGGAGTAGTTGTAGCAGAAATCTTATGGCCAACAAAGCTAAAAATACCTAGTCCTTTAAGAAGTTTGTTAATATTCAATCCCGCTCATTCAAATTTGACCCTATTAGAATTCTGTACTTTAAGTTCTGTGTCTGAAGGGTTCTTTTTAATTGCTGTACTTGAAACTATATTACTGATATACCCATTTAAGCCTCTCTTGGAACCTGGCAGGGAAAAATATCTCTATGCCAGAAAACACGTTCGTTCCTCCTAGACAGTTGGTGGGCTTGATTTCAAACATTTGCTGCCTTTTTGTGTCTGACCCTGTGTTCATTAAGAAGTAACAGACGCAACCAGCTGTCCTGTGTGTCTGTAATAATGCTCCTTTGTAAACATTTAGAGGAAATAGACAAGGAGAGTTGGTTAAAATGTGATTTTTAAAAAAGATTGCAAACTCTGGATTATGTTTTTCAGTTCTTTGCATACATGGGAGGAGTTAAAATTGAAGCTTTTGTTTTTCTAACCCACTTTCTCACAGAATATAATCTGTACCTCTGGTGCCAAGAAGTAAAGCACTTTCTGGTTTTGTTTTAAGAAAAGTTTAATTTTGCTTTCTTTAAGTCAGATTACTTCAGGCATAGGAGGCTTCCATAAACTGTAACTTTTAAAGGTGAATACTGGTGAGTTTGAGGTTACTTTCTTATTAAAGCACTCAGTGTTATAAGCAAATTAGAGATGTTTAACCCCAAAAGCCTTGTTTTTCTTCTCCATATTTAGCTAAAGTTTTTCTTGGCTTAAAATATCAGGCCAATTGTCTCAACTCAACAAAGGGTGTGCTCAAAATAGAATTTTAATGAAAATATACTTCAGAGGACATCAGATAGCTTGGAGTTCTGTAAATAATGCTTGTAAATGCGTTCGGAGCAGGAAGAGTTTGGCCCAAAATTTGAGCTGAATTTTTTCAATTCAGTTCTAATCACTTTGTATAATACATTTGCAAGTAATTTTCCTCTTTGCATACTTTCACTTTTTGTTAACTGAATTAGAAACTATATAAAACAAACCAGTCAGGGCATAAGACAGTTCTAGTGTCCTAAACACCACTTTCATTGGACTCAAGAAGTGTTAAACATTTTTAGAGAATATCTATTTTCACAAAGTTCATCCACCTACTTCAGCCAGTCCAAGAGGGCCTGGTAACAGCGTCTGGTGTCAGAGGGGCATGATATACAGGAAATTAGAAACTATTTAAAGATCCCTATCGTGTGTGTGTGTGCATGTGCATATAATATGAGCTCATTGTAGAAACTAGGAAAATAATAAAGGAATAAATAAGTAGGAAATAATTTATCCATAATTCCACCATCTAGAGATATTAGCTAGTAACATTTCTGGCACATGTCCCCTGTTTTTCTGTATTCATTTTTAACATGGTCATAATGATATCATATATACAATTTTATATCCTTCACTATACATAAAATTCTACACCCAAATTTTTTACTTACTATCTCAACATGTATGTTCCTTTTTTTAAAAAAAAAAAAATCTCTTTAAGCATTGTTTTATATAACCAATATGGTATTTCACTCAGTAAATACTTTATGTATCTATTTAACAATTCCCCATATTTTTATTTTAAATGACTTTTAAATTTCCTTTCTTTTTTTCAATTGTAAGTAATGCCTTTGAGAATCTTTGAGCAGAATATTTGTCTGAATTCCAGATTATTTCCTCAGGATATATTCCAGTAAGTTGGTTTAATGGATCAAATTGAAAAGCATATTTTTTAAACCCCTGCTTTCTAGAAAGATTTGTCAACTTACCCTCCTATCACAGAGAGTTATGGAAATGGTTATTTCTACCCATTTGTCAGTTTAGGATGTTATTTTTATTATGAAACAATCTGATCAATATAACTTGACCTATTAACAAGCCAAGTATAATAACAATCCTCCATAAAGCTTTAGAAATTTGCTCTAAAATCACATGCTTTTTTTAATGACAATATAATTTTTAAATAACAGAAAAGTTGGGTTTCAAGATAAAGATAAAACCTTTACATCTGCCCTTAAAGATTTGAAATATTGTCATAGATGAGTTTGTTTTTTAAAATGAAGCCTGTATTATGTATTTCCTCAGAGTGTCCGGAGCTTAATAATGTGATAGAAAGCTGCAAATTGATACCAATAATTTTTTTCCTTATATGATATAGTACAACTGTCAGCAGCATAAACTTTCCAAAGTTAGAAATGTTGAAGTCTCTTATGCTACTAGTATGTGTCAAATGCTTGGCTCTGCTGCTCCAAATTGTGTTTTAAAATGATTTTTTTTCTTTCATTTCCTGTTTTCCATTTCCCATCCCCTTCCTTATCAAACTCTTATTACTAGGCCAAACCAAGGGCTTCTGTCCCGGAGAATGGTTGTGTCTCCAGAAATGAGATCAGTTATAAATTCTCTTTTAAGTGTAGCCAGCTGTAGTAAGTACGGTACCTGCAGTCTATGTTGCTTCTTGCATCGCAGGAGCTTTGCCTGTTCTGACTGATGTGTGAAGTTACAGAATCTGCCTTTGTTTTTGTATTACAAACAAAGACAAAAACCCACTAAATACCTGGCTTTGCATAGTGTTTCTTTCCAAAGCGCTTTTCCAAAGGACTTTTTATTCACCTGTACTAAAGGACATTGAGATGTAAAATAAAAAGAAAACTACTAACCATCTAACCTGTTCTAACGTACTATTACAGGAATGAGGTTTTGCTTATTGGAACGGTGTGTATAACAGGGTGCCCTCATTTGGATGTATTTAATACCTTCCAAATGGGCCCGTGACCTTATGTGATGCTGATTTAATTTACACCTGACCCATACACCCTAGGGATGTAAACTGTCCCAAGGTACCCTTGCTTCCCTTTAAATATATTCCTTTGTTTCCAAGATAAACATCTAGTATATGTCTCTTAGTTTGAAGAATGCTTAAAGGGTGACTGTCAAAAATACTTCAAAAATCGAAAATACTACTCTCACACAAACAGAAAATGAGCGTATGTGAAAGATTTCTTTAACTCCTTCATGAGAGAACTGACAGAATGGTAAAGCTGTTCCCAGAGAATTCAAAAGACTGAACTCCACAACCAAAAGAGAGTACTGAGATAAGCTTCCTGCAGTTGACACACAAGCAGTTAATATCCTACTGGGCAATAAAACTATGACCATAATCTTTTTAGACAGAGGGTTACTGTGTATTTCTTCCATACAGAACCCCCCCAAGTTAACATGTAACTTAATCTTGGTACTCATCCATGGGAAATGAAAGTTAGACAAGTCTGTCTCTCGGGACTTTCCTGGTGGTCCAGTAGTTAAGAATCTGCCTTCCAACAGAGGGGATGTGGGTTCCAGCCCTAGTCTGGGAACTAAGATCCCACGTGCCGCGGAGCAGCTAAGCCCACCTACCGCAAATACAGAAGCCCACACTGTTTAGAGCCTGTGTGCCACAGCTAGCCTGTGTGCCCACAGTGAAGGATCCTGCATGAGGCACATAAGACCTGATGCCGCCAAATGAATCAATAAATACATACTGTTTAAAACAGTCTGTCTCTCAAGAGAAATAAATGCTCCTTGCATGGGCCTGTTAGATCATGTTCTAGGATGACATTGGAAAAAATGCACAGCCGTGTCCCTTGCCTTATTTGGGAGTTTTGAACCATTTTCTTAACCGTGTTTTCTACTAACTTCTTTGAGTGGAGTAACCTTTGTACTCTGGGAACAAAACCCCAAGTTGTAACTTTTCTGGTTTCCTTTCATAGACCCTACACAGAGACCAGTCACCTGGACGGCACAGATGGAAACCTGCTGGAAGACAGCCTGGAGAGTAGTGAGCAGAGACTCTTCTGGCACGAAGACTCCAAACCCGGAACATTAGTCTGAACTGCGGACGGGCCTCTTGACCAAGCACTGCGCTCTCACACTAGTGTGCCTTGCAAAATGTGTTCGTCTTCCTGGAAGGCTGTAGGCTTTAGAAACCTGAAGGCATCCGAGGTGGAAAGGAGGACTCCATTGGCCCCAGAAGTGAATCACACACTAGACCGCACAAAGCCCTTGAATGACATCCCGCCTTTCCAAGTCCAGATGCTCACCTAACAGAGCAAGGTGAAGACCACGTGTGAACCTTTGCCGAGGAGGACTTGGCCTTTACCAAGAGCAAGCACTTTGTAAGGGAATAAAAGTGGTTGGAGGCAGACCTCAAAACTGTGAAAAGTGCATTCAGGGTCTCCCAAAGGAAAGAAGGACAGGGGAAATTTCAGAGCACAATTCAGGATGATGAGAGAAGGGAAGCTGGAAGCTCTTTAGTCACTGCTCACCATCAGAAAGTTTGAATTTGTGAGCTGGCGAAGAATTACATACTATGTCTACCCAGACATGAACAATTCAGACAGTATTGGAAAATTACTTGAAGAGAAGCTGGATTTTTATGAAGTTCTGAATGAGTGTAAATGTTTTTAGGCTGTTATCAAGAGTGATGGTTTTCATAAGCACCACAAAATGGGTTCTGGAAAGACTTATGGCTGTCTTGTCCTGTAATATAACTATGGTAGCAGATTGGGGAAAATGAAGCAGCCCACTGAGTAACTGACAGACTCTGCTTGGAGAATTTTCTAAGGTACAATATCATTGAGTTCCTTTTTTTCCTTTCTATGCCAACGGCATGAGCTATGTTCTTCAGGCTGGTAACTCTCCAACATGGCCATCATTGCAATGGCAGGCTTGATATGGAAAGTTTTATAACCAAGAGTTTGGAAAAGTATTTTAAGGTGATACAGAAAGAACCTAACACAATATAAAGAAAAACAGCAACAACAAAAAGAAAGACACAAAACCCACATCATTTTCTATGAATCATGTGCCTTAAAATTGTGAACATTTGAAAAATAAGCATATTGTCTGGATTCCCCAGGTAGTTCTAAGTCACCAAGTGACAAAAGCAAGATTACTCATTAAAAACAAAAACGAAAACCCTCCAAGCTGCAATAGATTTAATTATGAGGCTAAAACTACCTCATACTTTCCTTGGAAGAACTAATTCGCTATGGTTTATTGTAGGATGTTTTGGAGTTTTCGTTTTTTTGTTGTTTTTTTTTTTAAGTAAATATTTCCATATTCTAGATGGATCTTTTTCATCATCTTTACTCTGCTTCAGAATTCCACAGAAGGTGCTCCTTCCCCCTCTTTTATACAAGTTTCTTGTTCATATTGTGAATAGAGAAGTTTCTGAACAACTTTTTGGGGACATTTTCTATCTATATTCCAAAGCATGTAATATATACATAAAGGTGATTTGTTAAACTGGTCCTTAGTCATTTGTATCATTAAAAATGAAGTTTGGGGGGTGGGATATTTGAAAAACAAAAAGACATGCAAACAAATAACTTATTCCTTTTTCCATATTTGTATAGCCTTCTAGAAACAGAAATACCCTTTTGCGTATTCTTTTACTGTTCTGACTTTTTTAGACCTATTATTTTTTTTACATAGGTCAATAAATTGAAGGTGTGCTACTGAAAATGTTTATGTATCTTTCCATTTATGTTCAGGGCTCACACAAAGCAATTGAAATTGCTCTACTTCAAGTAATCAGGCTGGTGAAGATTGCAGATTTTTAGTGATATTATTACTGTATTTTATGGGTTCCAAGATGGCCATTTTTTCATACTTACATCTTCACAATCAGGGTGCATCTTTTGACTACTAACATGTTATAGTTGAATTAGGGATTTTTTTTCTTTCTTTCTTTCTTAGTGAGATGTAAAATAGTGCTGTGTCTTAGAATGGGTGAAATACAGTAGTTTATTGCCTTATGGAGGATAACCATTGCAAATTTTTAGGCTTCCTAATCTTACAAATGTTGTTTATTTGTAACAAGTCATTCTTTCTAGTTTTGCAGACTGGCAAACAGGTCTTTTACATTCAGGAATATATTTCTTCTGTTATCTTTTAACCCCATGCAATGGGGCAAGGGGAGTGGGAAGTGAAATATAGGGAGGTTAGTATTTCTGTACAAGTACTTTACATGGAAATAAGGTATCATTTATCCTCCTGTTAAATGATATGCTCAGAATTGCAGATATACCTTGAAAAAATAAAACTTGGCTCTCGACTGGAAAAAGAAGTTACAGAAATTGGAAGCACAGTGGGTCTGCTGTATGATTTTCCTTTCATCTTTTTTTGAAAAGCGTTTCCTAACCACATTATTGATATGCTTATTAATAACCAAAAAGTGACAGAGGTAAATTCTTCAACACATCAAATTAATATGTTTTTTATTGCAAAATATCATACCCTCATATTAAAAATCTTAAATGCAAACATGAAGCAAATATATAACATAAAACCACCATCATGCCCTATAACCTAACATTACTGGATACAATTGTTAATTGTATATCAGTTCGGATTTTTTTCTATGCCTATAGTACTTTCTTTAAAAACAGCATCATACAACAAGTACACTTTTACAACTTTTTTCATCAAAACATGTTGGGCCTCACTTTTTGTCAGTATATATTGATCTACCTCATAAAGATGTATGTTTTACAAGGTGAATTGAAAAAAATTGCCTCACCTTCCTGGATGTTTAATTTTTCTCTATTTGAGAGAAGTATCCAAGATCCTTCTTTGTATTCATAAAAGCTTTAATGTTAAGCAATAAAGATTCCAGAATTGTTTTGAACTATTATACTAGTTTAAAGCCTGTTCTTAGGAACAAAGGTTCAAATGTCAGTCCTTAAGAACTTTCAGAATTGAAATAATGCCTTTCTTCGGTACAGTAGAAAAGTTTTGATGTGAAAATACAATGTCTTCCTGAAGCTTACAGTGCAATGAGGGAGAAACAAAAGTGATCAGCTGGAGTAGCTTAAAAGGATCATTAGTCCTGTGGGGGCCAAGAGTGGTGAGAAGAAAGGGGACGTGAATAATACCTTAGTTTTGTGGGACTTGACCTTTCTAGCAGTGATGCTGAAGCCTGATTTTAGGGATTGGTAAGAAAAGATCCAGTTAAGCAAAAAGGAAAAGAAGCTCTCCTAGGGCTTGGAGAATGGCATTATGGCGTTTGCCATGGCCCCCAAAGCTAGGAGAAGCTTAGCCAGTTTTAGAAACTGAAAGACTAGGAGGGCAGATTTTTTCCCAGGATTAAAGAAATATAGGTAATCTGTCATTTTTGAGCTCTTGCCATTGTCGCAACGATGGGCTAAGTGCTATAACACATTACTTTGTTTAATCCTTTCTTCAATTGTGTGACAGAGGTCGTCTCATCCCAGAAAAAGGATTTAAAGGAGTTCCCTGGTGGTCTAGCGGTTATGTCGCAGGAAGGGGGACCCCCATCCAGGGCCTGAGAGTGGGCTCTTGTCTGACAGTTGGAAACGAATTGTCCCAGGAGAGACACATGCTGAGAAAGCAAGAGACTTAATGGGGGTGGGGCGGGGGCGCCCGGGGGAGAGAGCAGCGTGGTAAGGGGACCCCCGACAACAGCTCTGCCACGTGGCTCGCAGCCTCCGGTTTTAAGGTAACCAGCTTGGTTTCAGTTGTCTCTGGCCAATTAGCATGACTCGGGGTCCTTCCTGGTGGCGCATGCGTGAGTACGCGCATGCGTGAGTACCCGCGTGCGTGCATTTGCGTGTGCGTGCATTTGCGTGTCTCTCAGACAAGATGGAGTCCAGCGAGAGTAATTCTGGGAGGGTGCTAGGACTTTGGGACTAGCCTCTCCTCTCTCCTTAGGAGGTTTCCCGAATTCTTCTAGTTGTCCTACCTTGTTCTGCGTTCCTTACCAGGACCCCCTGTTTAAGCTAACTCATACAAGTGGTTGGTATGGTGCCTGGCCAGGGTGGGCCGTTTCAGTTAAGGGTTTCGCTAACAGGACTCCGAGCTGTCACTGCTGAGGGCGCCAGTTTAATCACTACTAGTCCAGGAGCTAACCACATGCTGCAAGCCACACAGCACGGTCAAAAAAAAGAAGAAAAGGAAAGGATATAAAGAGATTCAGGAAGATTACCGTGGCCTTGGTGGCTTGACTACGCAGAAAGTAAGTTGTAAAGCCAAAATTCAAACCTACATCTGATTCAGAAACCTCTGCTGTCTGTTGCCGTGATGTTATAAACAGGGACTGCTCACCAAGCCCCTTCCTTTAGTGGAAACCAAAAGAAATGAAAAAGTAAGAGAAGGAGCGAACAAGAGTCAGCCTGGGGAGGAGAAAGAGGGAGGGCCACTGGGAGGGATGGGAATCGGAATAGCATGGTGAAAAAAACAGCACAAAGGACAGTCCAGGGCAGTCTGCAGTTTGTGACTTTTCAGGATGTGCAATTCAGACACTTCTTTCTGATCTGGGTGTGGCTTGAGGATATGCCTAATTGAAGGGCTAGTTAACAACCAACTGGGCAACAATCACATTTGCACGCAGGGCGGAGGAGGAAAGCAAAGGCATTTAAGGAGTGCCCTAGAAAGTCCTGGGCTTCCCTAGTGGCTCAGTGGTAAAAGTAAAAAAATTTTTAAAAATCCACCTGCCAGTGCAGGAGATGCAGGTTCAATCCCTGGATCAGAAGGATTCCCTGGAGAAGGAAATGACAACCCACTCCAGTGTTTTTGCCTGGGAAATCCTATGGAGAAAGGAGCCTGGTGGGCTGCAAGGAGTCAGACACAGCCGAGCTGCAGGCATGACATGGCTGGAAAGTCCTATGAGTTAGACCAGCTTTTCCTAACCGCACTGCTCCCTCCTAGCACAAGCACAGAACTTCTCCCGGAAAACCATTCTTTATATTGTCCTGTCCTCAATTTCGTGAGAAAGTGGTGCCATAAGGAGATCAAAGATTGGAAAGCCAAAGTGAGAAAGATCTCTTTAGGGAGACAGACCCAAAAGTGGGAAGGGCATTCTCAGCAGCCCTTCAATTACCATGAAAGAAGCCTTCCTGGGAATTGATAGTGGGTGTCTGGGCAGATATCACCATCTCTATAATGCAGTGCTTATGCAGGCTTTGAAGTCAGGAAGATCTGGAGACAAGCTGCCGGGCTTGGGTACAATCCCAACCCAACAGCTCTCTGGTTGTATGATCGAGGGTCATTTTCCTAATCTTTCTGGGCCTCAGTTTCCTGTCTAGGACACATCACGCAAGGGTATTTAGTGGGCTGAACAACATAACACGCATACCAATGAGGACCTACTGTACAGGACATGCGACTCTGTTCAATGTTATTTGGCAGCTTGGATGGGAGGAGCATTTGGGGGAGAACAGAAACATGTATATATATATGGCTGAGTCCCTTCATTGTTCAGCTATAACAACATTGTTAATTGCCTATATTCCAGTACAAAATTAAAAAAAAAAAAAAACAGACTCAAAGAAGTGACCGATCCAGGCAGTTTTTATACCTTTTATACAAAAGAAACAAAAAGTAGCAAGAAAAACAAAAAAGATAATGCACATAAACAGCTCAGCACAAAATCTAGTCCCCAGCAGATGCTTCATAATGTAAATTATCCCCTGAAAGAAAGGTGGCAATATCGAGGATTAAGAGTGTCTAGAAAGTTGGGGTTCAGAGGATTTGCACTGCCTTAGTTTAACCACTGAAATGACGACACTATTGAAACAATTCATCATAGGTCTCAAGTACTGTCAGGAGCATATGGAATTTTTTTTTCTCATATTTAATCCTCAGAGCAAGTTTGCAATTATTAATCGCAAACAAAAGCTTGAGGAAACTGATTAGTTTGCCCAAGTTCTGTATCAAGAAAGCATGCAGACCTGGATTGCAGTTCACAAATGCATTCAGTAGAATATTTGAAAATTATGAATTCGTGCCCCACTGGTGTACACCGTGGAAGGAGGCTGCATAAAGATTAACCCAAGAAGTCAAACTGATGAAGATGTTTTCCTGACCTTTTGGTCAGAGCCCTCTTACAAGGCCAGGCCTAAGGCAGGGTATAGTTTAAAGATCCTGAGAGTGAGTGCCCTGGCTGCTTCACCCTGGACTTGAGCCTGCTGCTGACTCAGAGACTAGTACCTGCCTTTTCATCTGTATAAGAGTGCAAACAAGCCAGTTAGGAGGGTGGCCAGATTTAGCAAATGCAGGATGCCGAGTTAAATTTGTGAAATAGCTCTAATTTATTGGGGGAGGGAAAAAAAAGCTGCATATAGGACATTTGGGGTGTCCTGATTTTAAAAAATCAATAAGGGATACCAGCCAAAACCATTCCACACAGAACATGTCCCATAGATACAGGACACCTAGCAGCCCTACTTGCCAGTCCTCTGTCCAAGGGCAGGTGGGGTCTGTTACAAGATGTATGAAAAGCTTTTGGGGGTGGTATGCTAGGGACATAGGTCTTACACCTCTGTGTGGAGAGAGGTTGGTCCTTCTCAATACAAAGCCTTTCTTCATATCAGAAACCTTCCAGGCTAGGCCTGGTTTGGTCTGTCAATACGCACACAATAAAGCTCTTCTGGAAGGGCACCCCTGAGAAAACCTTTCCTAAAACAGTTTGCTCTGGCCTAGAACGAGGTTGTTTGCAAAAGTGGTCAACGAGGCCACCTAGAGGCCTGCATGGGTTATTGCAGGCAGGAGATTCCTGACGGGGCCACCCCACAATACTGAATTCAAATGGATGTACAAACCAGGTTTAAAGGCTCTTCAGAAAAAAAAAAAAAAAAAATTGAACACCCGACAGTTTGATTTATTAGCGATGTCTTCTTGGGGAAGTCAAGTTTTTTTTAAAATATCATATTCTAATAATATAGAAATAAAAATTGCAACACAAAATTGTAAGGATTCAGTTAAACCATGAACTCCCAGTGCCCCGGACACAGCTAGCGCTTATCAGTGTCTGTTGTCATTATTGTTTCTAATATGACACTTGCAAGGATGTGGAATTCAAGGGAGCTGTTATTAATAACTTTTAATAATACTATAAACTTTATCAATAAAATTAAAATGGTAAGTATCAATAATATTTAACATTCATTGAGTACCAGGGCTGGGATTAGGTTAAAGTGCGTGAAGTACTTGCTCAAGTGAAAAATGTAAGGGGGTACCAGAAAGCCCAGATAAATAAAGATAAGTAATATTTCAACACAGTCTTTTAAAAATAATCAATTTTCCTGACCTTTTGGTCAGAGCCCTCCTACAAGGCCAGGCCTAAGGCAGGGTATAGTTTAAAGATCCTGAGAGTGAGTGCCCTGGCTGCTTCACCCTGGACTTGAGCCTGCTGCTGACTCAGAGACTGGTACCTGCCTTTTCATCTGTATAAGAGTGCAAACAAGCCAGTTAGGAGGGTGGCCAGATTTAGCAAATGCAGGATGCCGAGTTAAATTTGTGAAATAGCTCTAATTTATTGGGGGAGGGAAAAAAAAGCTGCATATAGGACATTTGGGGTGTCCTGATTTTAAAAAATCAATAAGGGATACCAGCCAAAACCATTCCACACAGAACATGTCCCATAGATACAGGACACCTAGCAGCCCTACTTGCCAGTCCTCTGTCCAAGGGCAGGTGGGGTCTGTTACAAGATGTATGAAAAGCTTTTGGGGGTGGTATGCTAGGGACATAGGTCTTACACCTCTGTGTGGAGAGAGGTTGGTCCTTCTCAATACAAAGCCTTTCTTCATATCAGAAACCTTCCAGGCTAGGCCTGGTTTGGTCTGTCAATACGCACACAGTAAAGCTCTTCTGGAAGGGCACCCCTGA